CATCTACCCTGTTAATCTGCAGTGCACAGATGCAGAAAGTAAAAGAGGTTTTCTGAGGTCTAGAGTGCAGCTCTGTATCCATGCAAGGATAATTCGTAAGTCTGTGAAATTTGTCCTCTCTGCCCTCACTACCAGGCAGACTTTTTTAGGGAACTGTATTGCTATCTTTAGAGGCTTTGGGAAAGATTGTTTGAAGTCTTCTGAAAGCTCAGAGCTGATGAAGGTGTAGGGCTGGGGAAGATGTCATATAAGGGAAGAGAGGGTTGGGGGCAGAGTAATCCTTCTTCTAGTGGCATTACTCCTAGTTTCTGAGGCAAGATTCAGGACTGAGATGCACTCTTGAGCTGACAGGTGGCACACCACAGAAACTGGGCTTCATTTAAAAGCACAAGATTCCCTTAAGTTTCGACATTATTCATGACTAAGCAGGCCTGGCTCAGCACTTTTTTTAAAAAAGTGTTTTATATCAAGTTACACGTTTATATATGTTCCCAAATGCTAACATAATCTTTTGACTTTTTTAACATCAAGTATGAAACCTTCACCTCTCCATAACTTAATTATACCACGGCTAGATTATGCGATCGCCCGGTGACTCCGTGACAAAACCATAACATGCTAGAAAGACAGCAGCCTAATTGTGTTGGCTCCTTCGTCCTCTTCCCCTCGCCAGCCCTCACCTCCCCTCTTCTGTCTGCCACAGGCGGCAGTCAGGCGCTGCGGGCCATTCACAGAGACCGGTCTCGGAGAGCGGCCTAACACCCACCCCCGGCGGCAGAGGCCGGCGGTCGGTGACTCCGTGACAAAACCATAACATGCTAGAAAGACAGCAGCCTAATTGTGTTGGCTCCTTCGTCCTCTTCCCCTCGCCAGCCCTCACCTCCCCTCTTCTGTCTGCCACAGGCGGCAGTCAGGCGCTGCGGGCCATTCACAGAGACCGGTCTCGGAGAGCGGCCTAACACCCACCCCCGGCGGCAGAGGCCGGCGGTGCCCCTCTCCCCGCCCGTCCCTGAAGGGGCTGCGCCCGCCAGGCGGCGTTCGTCGAGGCGGCTCGCGCCCACGCGTGCCCCTCGCCCTGTCCCACTCACATCGCGGCGCGCGGTCGACTCCGCTCCGCGGCTGACTACGCCGCCCCTCCGTCCGCACGGAACGGACACGCCCCCTCCCCTCCTCGCGGCCAATCCCAAGCCGCCTTACTCCGCGGAGCCCGGGCGCCTTAGCGACCGCCTACGCCGGTGGCCGTCGCCGTGGGCACGGGGACGCCAGCCCTGGGGGGAGGCTGCGGCCGCTCCCCGCGTGCACCAAATAAAACCAGAAACAGCCAGAATAGAGTTCAGTGGATTTTTATTGCTTTTACCAACTTCCTGAAACATTACAAAAGATAGTTTTATTCTAGCAGTAATTAAAACAACAACAAAGGCTGGATCTTTCACATTAAAGACAAGTCTGAGAGTTGTGTTTCCTTATACAGGAATACTGAATATTGATTCTACATTTGGAATAATGTTTTCAGTTGCTTTGGATTTTGTTATAAAGTAAGAAAACGTCATTGCAATTAGAAAAACAGTCATAAAAAGTTTGAACCGTAGAGTATGTAACCACATTTCAAAGAATAAGTATTAAAAACAAAACAGTAGTTCAGCTACAGATGCTGAACCCTGGAAGACACCTTTGCACAGGAGTATCAGCAACAATAAAAAGAAAAGTATTATAAATGGTGTGTCTTGTCAATAAAATTTAGAAAAGTATTGATTTTCAAACACATTCATTATTCCAAATAAATGTCAACACATACTAAATTCAATATGAAAGTGTCTTTAGATCAACGCCAACTAAGAAGTCCTGTAAGTTTTCACTAAAAATGCAAAATAAAATCGACTTAAAATTACTAAGCAATTTGCTTTATTTATAGCACTGCTTTTACGCTGACTCAAAGCGGTGTGCCTCTAAGTCTTAAAATCTGCCATAAAATAAATTACTGTTGGTATAAACAAAGTATTTCACACATTGGTACTGTACTTGATAATGAATTTGACCTAGATGAGTAATTAAAACATTACTAATCATATAAAGCAAAAAGAAAACTAAAATCATTGTGGTGCTCATCTAACAGACTACATTTGTGAACTGAAAAATCATGAACCATTTCTCTTATGATTTACAGAACGTTATGTACAAGACAACCCTTTAAAATGGTACAGGCTCTGCCATGGGACACCGGTTTGTTACACATCTATTTTACAGCCTGTCAAACCTGCCTTTGCAAAGGGCACAAATTAGGAAGCTACCATGTAAAGACAGATGCAGGTGAAGTAAATGGTAACTTATGGGAGAACTTTCCTTAAATATAGCAAAAAATGGCCAAGACATTCTGCTGAAAAACCCTTGCTAGGGCACCAAATTCTACCCTAATAGGTTTTATGATGACAAACTTGGCAATTTGGAACATTTCACTGAATAATCTTATGTTACAGCTGCAAAATTAAACTAGGAAGAAAATATAATTAACTTGGGCATATGTAAACAGAATGAAGTGTGTCATTGTAATACATACGGAAATATTAAGAATGAGTTTTGTAGAATATAATTTAAATATGAGACTGCATTTTAAGTGAAATATTTTAGACAATAATTTAAATGGAGTGGTCAAAATTAAGACCTACACTTTATGTAAACATTCATATTTATAAATAAATTAGAAAAAGAAAAGAAAAAGGAAAGGGAAAAAAAAAAAGAAAAGAAAAAAAGAGGGACTTCCTGAGGTGGCTCTGCAGCCAGATACACAGTAGCATGAAGCTCCACTCCGGGAAACCAAGGCATCTAAAAAAAGTGCAGGGCTGTTTATTTTCCTCTAACTGCTGGAATGGAAAAACATTGGCGTAGTTTTTACAGGGCTTAACCCCTATGAAAAATATCAGTGCACAGCAATTATCACTGCTCTTTTGCATCTGTTAAGGCAAAATGCGTTATCTACATACAGCAAACTACATCCTCAGCTGTTTTGCTTTAATAATTACGTGTGTTTTTAAAGCAGAGAAGGTGTAAAATGAGCAGCGAATCACTTAACCATAGATTATCAATGAGGTTTTATGCACTTAATACCAGATCTTCCTCTATTCATATGGGAAAAAGTGCAAGCATAACATGCTACTGACCAAGAACACTGGAAATAAAGGTCCCTGTAAACTGCTTTGCAAGTCCTGGTATTTCTGGCACTGATTAAAATATTTACACAATTAAAATTAAATAAATACTGTGATTAGACTTGTGAGACTTTGGTTTTGTTTCAACTTCACTAGAAAAATACCCCCTTCCTGTAATATTGACCAAAAACTTAACTCTTCTGAAGTACAAGCCAGATACAAGATGTGCAGCACCAGGGAACCCTGATTTCTGGCACTGAAGAGTTAATAATCTTAGAGGCTTATAATAATTTTTTGTGTCTTTGGAAAGTGTTGTAGGACTGTGAACATGAAGTGTGAAATACTACTGGGAGGATGGGTACAGAAGTAACGCAGTGTGGATAACGCTACGTAAACTGCTCAAAATACCTTCCCTCTAATTCTGCATGAGCTCAACAACTGACTTGCAGACGTGTACCTTTTTTTTTAAATTATAGAGGAAGTTCTGAGAAAACATCTGCTGTCACTGTAACTCAGCCTGACTAGAGGAAAACCACGGGTATTTTCTGAAAGAGTACATATTCGAACTAAGGCACAAGCTATGCTATTATGTCAGAGTAAAGGAACACGCATACAGGTCACTACACAGTGTTAGTCAAATTGGTAATGCAGATCTCACTTGCTTTGCCACTGACCTGAGCCTTCGTTATGACAGTTTGGATAGCGTTATTCATATTGCTGTACATTAAGATTTACTTTCTTTAAAGTGTTTTCTCGGAATTCAGCCAAATGAAAAAAGAAAAATATTATTTAATTCTATTACATTTAGCAGGCACGGTAACAGTCCATGTAACTTAAATGCTACTTTTAAATGTTTCTATTTATTCCCACCAGTTGCTTTATTTTTATAATATACAATTATGTTCTCTCCAAGTGGCACTTGGCTGAAAAGCATCAAAATTCCACCTCAAGTGGTATTTTCAGATGAACTCTGCCCTCCTCCAGAATCAGCTCATTTTGCAGTTGTTGAGAATTCTACCACGTAGTCAGTGGTAAAACTCTCAACTTTGCCAAAAGCAGAATTAAGCAAACAGCACTTTCTAATTCTAAATAAGCACAGATTCTAATTAAAGCTATTGTAATACATCCAGAAAGGGTTTGTGGCAAACCAGAATGCAGAGAGATCATTTCAGAAATTAAAGCAAAAAACTGAGGCATAAGGCAAAAAAATATTAATAATGGAAACTGGGCAGGTAAGTGATCAAAATTTTCATTTATACATAAAATTCTCATTACTTCAAATATTATAATGCTATACACTACAACTTGAAAATTTAAGTACAATAAATGCACTGACTGCATCTTTATCAGTAAGCCCCAAAAAAATCCCATTTACTTTAATAAATGAATATTTACTTTTTTAATTCATTTTACATGATAAAAATTTATACTAATTAAAATAAATAAAATGTTTAAAAATAAGCTGGTGTGCTATCATATATGCCCTTTACAATGGGGAGGATCAGAACTGTACACACAAATACCACAAGTCATTTGTAATCCATAAAATAATACTGATCATAAACCTATTACAGAATTAAACTACAGCTAATTTAATCAAATACACAGTAAATTTAAAAATTAATTAAGCAAGAAATAGATTTGTTAAGGACATTAAATACTCTTAAGTTTCAGTCTTAGAGCTGAGTAAATCAGATTCTGAAAGTCAAGAGAAAAATGTAAGTGAAACCAGGAACATAAGAATTCAAAACTAATCGTGTGGTAAGTATGTATAACTTCCTGTGGACCAAATGGCTGTCTGTAAATCAAATTTATATTGTGTAAACATGGATATCCAGAATGGCAAATACTGACCTGGGACTCTAAGCACAATTACTGCATTCATCCTGCTACTGGACAGTAATGAAAAATCACGGGTCAATTTAAAAAAAAGTAGCAGAACAGGGTATATATATTTTAAGGATTAACCAACCCCCTGACTTGGGGCTCTAGGCCACTTCTGTAGAATAAGAGACAGAATCCAGAAAACACTAACATGTAGTGGAGACTTAAAACACAGTAGTTCTCATCAACAGCACGTTAATATTTGTTCTATGAAATCACAAAAAAAAATTATACCCTGCAAAAACAAGCAGTAATTGCCTGTACAGAAAACAAACTTCCGTAGCACACATTATAAACAGAGGTATTGCAAAATTTTAAGCAATGTGGACTAGTCATCGTCAGCAAAAACTGATTTAACTTTTATGCACATATTGATTATTGAAAATAATATGCATTCATTACAATCTTCCTATTTAAAAATGAAAATAAAATTTCCAATAAAATAAATAGCTGAAGTGTGATTACCACTCATCTTATTTGTAGGAAAATCTCATTATGCAAGCATATCTACAGTGCCCTAAACAATGGCAGAATTAAATACATGTTGCTCCTCAAATTGGAAATCACACTTCAATGGTATAATATCCTGCAGTGATATATATACACACACACAAAAACACGCAATTCCCCTTGGTTCAGTTCTATAAAGATGTTTCAGCATCCACATATTTCAGAACAGGTGAATCTTCCACATTTATTTTCACACTTTCTGTTTTTTCAGGGCTGTTTGAAAGCAAAGAGGAAAATGTAAGGGTCTGGTTCACTTTAGTAAGGGTTAACTTTCAAACATTTTAAACTCAACAATGAACACTGAAAATATTTGTGTAAGGACACTTATGATGATGCATTTCTGTGACATTCTAGTAACTGTTAGAAAAAAAAAACCCCAAAACTGCCTAGTTAAAAATACCAAAAAAAACCGTAACAAGTGGCAATATTAATACTGCTTAATTATTGGGCAGGAAAACAACCTTAATTCACAGTACAAGACTAGGAAAACATTTCAGTCTTTTCAAAATGGGGAACCAAACTTGTAACAACAGTAGAGGACAGTTAGAAATCTGCCTATGAGTCCATTCAAGTAGAAGACCCTAAAGACTGCACTGGCTGCCACCTGAACAACTGATACTCTTAGGGACAACACAGCCACTGAATCGTGGATTATCCAAGGACAAAAAGGAAAGTCCTGAGGTGGTTACAGAACAGCGTAAGAGGGAGGATTCCCTAGGCAGGAATGTCAGAACAGATGACATATCTGTGGAGTTGCTCTTTAAGGGAGAGGAAAAATCTATTAGAAATAAAATTAGAATTTATGTCGAGAGAGGTTCTCCTCCCCCTCTACTCTGCCCTGGTGAGACCGCATCTGGAATATTGCGTCCAGTTCTGGGCCCCACAGTTCAAGAAGGACAGGGAACTGCTGGAGAGAGTCCAGCATAGGGCTACAAAGATGATTAAGGGAGTGGAGCATCTCCCTTATGAGGAAAGGCTGAGGGAGCTGGGTCTCTTTAGTTTGCAGAAGAGGAGACTGAGGGGAGACCTCATTCATGTTTATAAATATTTAAAGGGTGAGTGTCACGAGGATGGAGCCAGCCTCTTCTCGGTGACAAACAATGATAAGACAAGGGATAATGGGCACAAGCTGGAACACAGGAGGTTCCACTTAAATTTGAGAAGAAACTTCTCAGTGAGGGTGACAGAGCACTGGAACAGGCTGCCCAGAGAGGTTGTGGAGTCTCCTTCTCTGGAGACATTCAAAACCTGCCTGGACGCCTTCCTGTGTAACCTCATCTAGGTGTTCCTGCTTCGGCAGGGGGATTGGACTAGATGATCTTTTGAGGTCCCTTCCAATCCCTAAGGTTCTGTGATTCTGTGATTCATGCAAAGAGGGATTCCTTAGAAAATATAAGTGTTCCTGGACTCTGCAGTCTATAAACTATGAAAGATGGTGGAGGTAGAAAGAAAAATCAATCTGGATCAGTTCAGGAAAGACAAAATACATACAATTTTTTTTTTTCCTCCAAAGTAAGATTTTTAAGAAATAATGCCAACCCACACAAGTGGTCATCTGGAACTCCAAAAGACATTACTTGCTTCTAACTGCACCCTATTTGAAACTTACAGATCTGAAAACAGCAATGCTTACGGAATCATTTTTACCACAGCACTCAACATTTGTCCATGCTATCAGATCCAGACTGTTACTGAGATGAAAAATTTACTGGGAATTATTTCTGACTGAGCAGTGGCAACATCTCTAAATCTCTCCAGCACCACTATACAACAAAAGAGCAGCAAATGGCTCGAAACAGCAACCAAATGAGTTAAGGCTCAAGGAGTCCTGTCTTTTTCAAGACTCATGCAATATCAGATTGCCTCTTAAAAGAGCAATCCCAGCACCAGCGGTTTTTATTAGTCTGTAGTTTTAGCAAGTTCCTTTCCAATATGCAATTTTTACCATACTAATCTTAAGTGGGGCATGTTATAGAACCAAAGGGAAACATCTTAAAGCAAAATATCAAAAATCGATGAAATTCTGAATATGACCTAAGTAGATCAAAACCCACTCCTTTCAGGAAGTTGGGGATATTCTATCTGAATATTCAGGATTTGGTTTGATCCCCTGGATAGATTCAGCCAGACAGGGAAGACACTAGGATGGAATAGCAGAATGATTCATTGCACACAGACTTTATTGTTCAATGGGGAGCTCGCTGAGAAAGGGCTGCTGACCATCACAGAAGATGCATGTCTGCTTACAGGTAATGTTCATAGCACTGAGGACTCCTTATCTGTCCGGTACTTTATTCAAGTACATTTCATATCCAATGAACACAATATTTGAGTCAGGTTTAATTTTTAGAGATTAAAAATGAGCTGGGGATAAACAAACCAACCAACCAACCCAACCCACCCACAAAAACAGGGGCAGACCCTAGGGCAGCATAAAGCAGCAATGAAAGTGCTGGACTTACCTTTTATTCCCACTGGCATTTGTAATGTTCATGATCAAACAATCCCCGTGCTCATATACACTCTAGTAAAGCTTTTAGAAACCCTAAACCCATCAGAGTAGCATACAGTTGTATTAAGCAAATAAAGAGTAACTCTAAAATTGCAAGTATATATTTAATAATTTCCTTGTAGACATTTTTTAACTTCAGAGAGCAAAAATTCAAGTTCCTCAAAAGTAAAAAGTCAGTGCAGATTTACAAACCACATATGCTCATTTTTTGAGATATGTTTCCAAGAAACACAAGTACAGCTATATTAGCTGCTAAACACAAGACCATAGTTAGAAAATGTGTGAGTAATTATAGCTACCTCAGGTTAGCTCTGGTTACTTTGGCATTCTCAGTACTCATGGCAAGAGCCTTCCACTGTGCAGTTTTGGCCATTTCGTCTGATATGTTTACAATTGAGGGATCAAGGCTAAGGAACAAACATACTTTCTGGTTAGTATTAAATACCTTGCAACCACATTATACTTATTGTCACTCATCATTTACATCAGTTGTGCCTTCTTTCACTATTTACGCAGCCACAAGTTGAGTTCACCTCTTATAAACCTATTTCAACAAAAATTTTGAAGTTTAATTCACTAGTGCTGCCTTAATCACGAAGCATCTTAAAACAGCTTTTCAAATAGATACCACTAAGACATTGAGAATATCTGTGTTATCTCATTTCTAAAATACCTGTAACTTCAGAAAATTATTTTGTATGCTCAGAAATGATGAAATCTATCACACTGTTCTAAGGCTTTCATAAATCAGAATAATTTTAAGTTGTTTTCCACAAAACAATCAAGGGCAAAAGAGCAAATGTTAATAAAATTTTGAAAATGGTAGCTCAGTTGAGATTTAAAACCAGTAAAACTAGTAAAGATCTAGAAGTCCCAATTATTTAGACAGATTTCAAGGTTAGTTTTTTTCTGCTGAACCATTTTTCAAGGTTTTCTTGCCACCATCCCCCCAAGTCCTGCAGAAGATAAATTCACCCTCATAGATGGTAAGCTTTAAAAACCTATTTCCCCTTTTGCCCTCCACACATTTTTTTGTACAGCATACTTAGGTGCTGTCTGTAGATACGTTTTCAGTTCTGTTGCATACTTAAGCTTTAGAATTTACTGCAGGGTTTTAGTGAGAGTTTTCCAAATTCCACAGATTATCTTTCAGTCGTTTTCCCTCAGGAATCCACACAAGACCCAAGACAGTGAAATACACAGGAAACACACATGCATACAGTTGATGAAATCATAGTTCTACTATGAGAGCAATTAGCAACTCATATGTTTCTTTAAAAAAGCTTTAGCATTTAGAATTTTTATTTGAGTTGCTGAAGTCTCATTAAGCTTGCTCTTAGATTAGACAGCAACACTCAGCAGGAGTATCTGTCTAATCCATCAACCTGCCTCTTTCCAACTCGTATCAGGGTAGACCTGACACTACCCTAGATCCATAGAAAAGCCAATTTTTAACCTAGGAACCCTTAATATTAGAGAGGCAAAACAAACCTGGCAAGCTATTTATCTGTCACATTTTCCAGGTGCACTGAATAGTTGTAGAATACTTGACAATTAAACTGAATACATCACCTATAAGGGAGACGCGTACTGACACAAAAACACCTTCCAGTGCTAAAAGAACTTTCCATCAACAAAATTCCAGCTTTTCCTTTACTGTAAGAGAACCAGTAACCCTGTCCTCACATTAACTTTCAAAAAATGACCTTTTAAGGTAAAAGGAGCTGCTGTAAAAAGATTTTTTTATATCACAGAAATTACAGACTTTAGCCCTTAGTTACATAAACCATCAAAGAAGTGCACACTTAAGACTTTATCTGAAAAATCTAAGTGGCTGGTAAACACATGGCTCAACTGATGCTATTAGTTGCTTAATACTCAGTATTTCATGCACACTAACACACAGGTATTCCACAAAAACTGACCAAGGAAGCTTCTTCACCTTGAGCACAGCTGGTCGAAATTGAGTCATCTGATCTGTTCAAGATGGTCATGTAAATTTATAATTAAGATGCAGTTTTAAAGAACAATGCAACATAAAAATGCTACTATAGCACCATGAGATATACCTTCATACTTCCTAATCATGGCTGAGTTACAAGCTTGGAAAAAAAATTAATACAACTCCTACACAATCAACCTAATATAAAGCAAAGTACAACACAAATACAAAACATCAGCATTTTCTTATACCTGTATTTTAGGGTCTTCACAGGAAAACCCAAATTTGCTTCTCCATATGCAAGGTGTACACTTTCATTGTCCCCTGTCTGAAGCATCCTCTCTGCTTCCTGTAAATTCCAAGTAAAAAGTTTATGAAATTACTCATGCAGCAGAAATCAAAGAAGTAACTCATGCTGACAGTTAATATTCATAGGGGTAAGAGGCATTTCCCTGTAGGTACTGGAGTTGAATGCAGGAGATAGGGTTTAAGACCTTTTTTCTTACAAGTGTTTTATTCAGGGCAGTGGGGTTGTGGGAGCAGGACAGGAGGGTGTTAAGTTTTGTAAGGAATTCAGCTAGCTGGTGTACAGTTAGGTAAGGTATGGAGAAATTATACAAGCTATATTACTATATTATTGGTAAACAGCAGTTGGTTTGAACTTTGCAGCTCTGCAAACACATATAAGCAAAATATCCCTGATATGAGGAACAGTGTTTTTGATTAATTTAAGCAAGGTAAAGATCCCTACTCCACTGTTTTTGTCTTCCATCCACATCCACCTTCTAACCTGATGAAAGACAAAAAAAACAACATTTTGTGCTAAAAACTGCTTCTTTCCACTTTCCTTGCTAATTTCAATCACAAATAAAGAGTCATAGTTCATAACAGCATCATTGAAACAGTGACTTTTCCTTAGCTTAATTGCCAGTAATAGTTCCTCTACCATTAAATCTCACGAACAAAGAATTTTCAGATATATATTTGGTATATAAGGTCATATGTTCAGGCCACTTGATATACTATTTAGTCGCATTGTGTATTTTCTAGCAATTTACAACATGCTTAGTTTGATTTGTTTTCACACTTACTGCTTTCTCTTTTTTCTTTTTGTCATCTTCTTTCTTCTTTTTACTTTCTGGCATAAGATCATCAAGCCAGCTAAGTTCTCTTTTAGTGAAACACAAATCCATGAGCTTGCGAATGAACACTAACGCTAGAACCTTAAGGGAACCAGAAAAGGAATCTTTTATATTAAACTATGTAAGTGAACAAAAATGCACACATACTTTCAGTACACTCAGAATCTTTAACTAAAGCCCTTTTCTGTAGTGTTAGTTTTATCTTACCACAAAGTTAAATAATTCCTACTTTCAATAGCTATTCACAACTAAAATGTTTATTTTCAGGAAATAAAAAGTCTTTTTGTTTTGAAAGTGAACAACCTGTAGTAAGGGTTCTTTTGTTTCTTTCCCACTTCTTTCTTAAGGCAGCAAGTAAGTTCTGAAGGGATCCTGGATGATGCATGTACTATCAGAAAATTATTAGCTTGTAAAACAGGTAACTTACCATCATAGGGAAAACAACAGCAGCTGCAGAGGCTTTAATCACCCACAACAGAACTAGACAAGTGAGCTGAACAACTGTAAAGATATGGACCTTCCACAGTGGCACATAACGTAGATAAATCAGGTCAGGTTGATGTTTGGCAGGCATTCCAAACAGCTTTATGCGGTCAAAAAACTGAATTGAAACATAAAATCATCCTTCAGTTAATTAGTTTCTTCTTCTCTGGAAATAAATATTTTTAGGGGACTCCAGAAATAAGTTAATCCCAAATAAAATACTAATGACGGGCATTGAACACTCAAGGGAGTGGGGGTGGGAGCTGTTTTCTTTTGTTGGGATTTTTTCCCTGCCTCTCATTACTACTACAAGACTTTAGAATATTTCAGAAAAAATTATTGCTCAGCTACACTACTGAAAGAATAAATGCAAGAGAACTAAGAAGTGAAGGCACAACATGGTAAGAACAAATATCTGAACACATCACTCAGGAAATCATCTTATACACTATTCAGGTAATATGGGCTAACTTTATTGTTGCTCACATAAAGTAGTTTGCTATAGTTTCATTTTCATTTAGCATTAAACAAAAGCAAATCATTCATTAAAATCAGACATTACCTGAATGCCTTTTAATGAAGATACTCCCATGTAAAGAAAGACACCATATAAAACTGGCATTGGAATAAACTAAGAAGGAAAAAACACCCACACAGTTACTTGTGGAATCAATACGGCATAACATAGCAGACTGTATTAGTGAAAAACATGAACCAAATTATTATTTACTTTATATGTTTAGATAATAAGAAGAAATACACACAGCTATAGTTTATTAATTACAGCTACATATAAATTCTTTAATAGTTAACCATTTGTATGTGTTAAAGAATAAACATAAACAGCCATGAGAAGCTACTTTTGTGAAATGACTTGTGATCCATTTTTAAACACACTTTTACAAAGTTATTTGAAAGTATTAGCAATTACGCAATTTATGCCATGTCTGCTGTTTTGGCAACAAAAAGGCATTTTTTTATTTCTCCTTTTAACTACTGGATTTGAAACAACAAAGCGGAATTTGAACAGATTTTACTCAAATGTGAGCAAAAAGCCAACTGAACTGATTGGTTTTCTTCCAATAAAGTTTTCAGAATGGCACTATGGATGTAAATTAAGAGACAAATTGTAAAGTGAGGCCACAGTACGATCTGCAAAATCTCTATTACACTGTGATGATGCGTAAGATAATCTTGACACTTTAAACATCAAAGGATGTTTAGTAAGCTGAAGATAAGAAAGAGAAGTGAATAATGTCACTTCTGATGATTTTAAACTTTTTTAAACCAGATGCTTCTGTTTCTTCTGCTATGTTGTATTACTCAAGTAACTTTACATCTTTATCACACTCCTTTTCTCTCTCCATTTATGCACTCACATAAAAACTACAGAAGAACTACTTTAGGTAGCATGGACACAAGAACCTAAAAAATAGCTGCCAAGAAAATCAGGTAACATGGACAAAGGTTGCTTTCTTCTCACTACATTTCTAGCTTGTTCAGATTTCATTTTCTTACAACTTCCCTCAACATTTCTATTCAACTAACATCTGTTGTTAAAAAGGCAACTTGAGAATGAGTCCAGGCACATTTTACTTAACATAATAAAACTTCTTAACATCATGAAATGCTAAATCACAATATCAAAATAAAAAGCAAACACAAAAAGAAAATACAAATATTTTTGAAAAATTGTCTTTTACCCTTAACACAGAGGTCATGAACACTGACAGCCCCATCAGGACGAAAATCATCAATCCTGTCACTCGCTGCTCCCTTATTCCCAAAAATTTTGGTTGCTCTCCTGGTGCTGAGCATTCAGATTCAACTTTCAGGCTGTTAACATGACTTATAGACAGGACAGTTGCAGCAACAAACCACGGTAGGCCCATGATAGAGCATATTCCCAGCATAACACCAACCATGAGCAGATCAAGATGATAACCACAGCCTTTCTGTAAAATTAAGTAAACAAATAATTTTATAAACTTTCTGTTCATGTGATACTATATTTATAATTTAGCTGCTAAATAACAGATAACTACAAAAGTTAGATACTTTGAGAGTGTCCACAAAATAATATTTGTTCCTTATTAGTCAGTATCTACATTTACTTAGTAGCTGTTGGTAATTTTTCACAGACTTGCAGAACGAATCTGATTTAAAAGAAACCTGACTAAACACAATATTAGGAGTTTTGTGAAAATTACTTTTACCTTCAGCTTGTGCTCTTTCCTGTTTATAATAACAGCTGTTATTTGTTGATCCATGAAAATGAGAATGGTACAGAGTAAAGCAGGAACAGCAGCTATCAGGAGTGTCCACCAAGGATTGCCTCCAAGAGGATCTATGAACCATCCTCTGTCTTTTCGGGTGGGCTGAAGAAAACCGAACATCAACAGTAAGACTTAAGTGACTAAAATAAAATGTGCATTTTCTTGCTACAAAGAGCTGCAAAGAGCAGATCAACAGTCTCTTAAATATGTGCTTAGATTTGTTTTTCAATGACATTGACCAAAAGACTGATTTAGTTGCTACATGTGAATGTGATATTTATATGGAAAAAATTAAACCAAATCCATTCCATTCATTCATTTCTGCATATTTGCACAAAAGAATGCTTCCTTTTCAGTGATATTATAATAGAAAGCATTGTCTCTTCTGTCAGATAAGACATACATCCAAAACAGAAAAGGGAAATTACTTCATCAACTACACTGTAAGTAAAAAAGATAAATTTATGGTTCTACACAATTCCATTGTTCTACTGTCTATGAAACCGCAAGCACTTTAAAAGTTAATTTTTTTAAAGGTTTATTTCTTACTTCAAATTTCTCTGGAACATGAAGCTTAGGAGAAGGTACTCCTACAAGATAGTCAATCAAAACCATGATAACTATGGTCAGAAATACTGCAAAGTCACTGATAGTAGAACGTACCTATAAAGAAAACACTTGTGTTAACTCTTGCTTTTTCATCATTATAATTTCCATGTATAGAAAGACAATTTTCTCCCCTACAAATAGTGGTCCATTCACATTATACCACTGAACATTATATGTATTTTCTCTTTTTATTTAAAAATTTAAGCTGCCTGCTAGCATTGCATGAAGTTGCAAAAGGTAAGTATTCTGTATAACTGTTCAACCAATTATCTCATTTAGAATTATCTACTGCAAGCAGTAAATTACTTAAAATAAATCCTTCCTCATCTTCCTGTCCTCTCAGCCCTACTGAGAGGGTGCTAGTCTCTTGTAGACTAATTCAATAACATCACTGAATTGTTCTGAAATTTGAATTTTTCAGACATTTGATGTTTTAATAGACAGGAGGGGGATAATTTGCAACAGATTCAGATTATCAAAGGTGACTTTATTAAACATTAGGAACACACTGTAGGAATGAGCTGAGGTTTAGAGAAGATCTAACTACTTTATTTCAGCTAGCAGAAGTGTGTAAATCAGACGAAAGGCAATAATTATATTAGCCTCTATTAAAACCAATAATTCCCTGAGGAACTGCTTAGAACTCTTCATACCTCAGCAGTCTGGGGAAAGCAATCAATTGTTCTCAGCTAGCTGAGGAAAACAGTGGCAATATTATCTCTCCACATGATCCCTGGAAATACCCATTAATGTAGGGAGATAGATTGCTTAGGTTGTCTAATGTTTAGAACAGCTCTGAATTTTCAGCAGCCAATTCATTTACTCTGATGCCTTCATTTTCTGAATTATTAGCTAATGTTCTGTTTTTAATTTCTTTCTCTGTCTTAAAAGAAATCTCTCAATAGAAACTTCTAGAGCAAAATTAAAAATTCAACTAGGTTAACTTATACTAATGTATTTATCACAAGATAACAATAGTCTCTAATTAGAATTACCTTAGTTGGGAAATAGCGTTTGGTCTTGAATTGTTTAAGGAAAGAGGAGAGGAAAAATGTTGTAAAGAATAATATGACAGACCAGAAGAGAACATCTGGAATATATGGTCCATGATGGCCACAAGCTGATCCACGAAACACTCCATGAAACTCTATACATTCCTGCAAAGAGAAAAACTCTTGAAGCTTCTTTGTTTTATTCACTTAGTACCTTCAACCTGACTCGTAGTCTTTCAATCCCAAAAAGGAGGTTCCTTCCTTCATCACTACCTCATCCTGAAATGCCAAGAATGTGTGCTGTCTGTTCCAGTAGAGCCAGAGTATCCCTTTACTGATTGTTTCAGGATGACAAAATGCTAGGAGGTGCCCAAGAAGAAACAACTTCTTTACATTCACCTCATTTCTATTCTGCTTCTCAAAGCATCACAATATTGAATGTGCAAATAAAGACTAAGACCAGGAAAAGCAGACTATCTAAGACCAACTTTCAAGCTGACAAACATTATGAAAAAGAAACCTCAGTTACTTCCACTTCTTTATTCTTAACTTCATTTTGTCCTGAATACAGCTAAGATAAAAACCCCTACAAAATGAGATTAACCCAACTGTAAGGAAGAAAAATTCTAGTAAAGTATAAAAGCGCTGTAAATAATCTGAATAAAAAAGAAAACGTCACATTATCCCTATCCAAAAAGCTCACTGAAACATAGAACAAAGAATTAAAGTAGACACATGAAGCAAAGGAAACAACAAGCCAATGAATCAAACAGTCGTAAGCAGCACTACTACAACCTACTCTTTAAACTGGTTAATTCACTGAAAATTTAACATAGGAAAAAAACCTCTCCCTGTTAAAAATCTACTTTGATTATAAGCACCACCAAATTCTAGATCAGTTCTGCCTCTCCAGGAAAACTGAAGACACTTAAGAGAATGAAAACATATATAAAACAAATAACAAATACTAAATACATGTAAAAACTAAGTTCAAGAGAAATTTCCATCCTAGGTGATCACGGTAGACTAGGATTCATTGGGGGTACACAGAAAACACTGCAGCTAAAACTCAAGTAAAGCACTGAGATTTTTCATAGTATTTTTTCAGTGTGAACGTGCAGGCTCACACAGAAGGAGAGCCCATACATGGGTGTATCCTGTCATTTTAGACAGTCTAAGACAGCCAAAATAGGCACACACAGCTAGCAAATGCAACAAAATCTACAGCAGATCCAAATAATTCAAAATGCAGGTGGAAACCAGATTCCAGGGTATGCAAAGCGGCTGTAAACAGCTGGATTTAGGCAACTGAATCCCTCCCAAGGAATTACAAATCAGCAAAAATGTTTCTTCCTAAAAGCCTTCAGTTTCGCTTCCACACAGTAACTTCCTTCACCTACCCAAAAAAACCAGATATTGTTATGAAATATCCAGGTCAGAAGGTAATGTTTTCAAGTCTACTCTTTCAAATAGCTCTTCCCCTTTTAACCTGCAATTTTCCAAATAATTATTTTCTTCCAATCAACAGTTAGGTATTTTCTTTGACTCTACTGTAGTTTTATACCGATGTCTAACAAACTAATGAAACGTGTTTGCTAACACATTTAACAGCAGATTCCACCTTCACAACTTAAAAATACTTGTTCAGCCTTTCCAGTAAATTCAAGAAAGCAATCTCCTGTTTATTCACCTCATCATACTTATCTGAGCTTCAGAAAGAAGACTATTCTGCCTATCAGGATTCAAGCACACATTTATGGTATTAGCATTTACAGCCATGGACTCGCTCATTTAAACTACTAGAATGACTGCTTAAAGCATTGTGGGAGTAATAAAAGAGTTCAAAAACACAATTTTAAAGAAAACAGTCCAGGATCGAATCAAGAAAGAAACCAGATGAAAAATATTAATCAAGACTAGTACTGTGTGGGTACTCACTTTTTATATGTTCATACACACACACACATATATATATATACACACACAGACACAGCTTCTAGATACTCACAGAAACTGTAAGGTTACTCCATGCTATGGTCTCCACAGACTTATTCATACTCGTCCACACCTGCAAAGTTTCATTGCTGGCATTCTCAGGCTCAGAGCACACACATCTGAAGGGAAGAAAAAAATAATTTACATGCTTCTGAGCCATGTGTGTCAAATACAGTGATTGGCAGTAATTTTTATTTTTATTTTCAAAACTGCCTCTCTCTACTGCAGTGGTTTGCAAACTTGGACTGCAGAATCTTTTCTGTCCAACAGGTTGACAGAAGTACACATCAGTAAAAAGAAAAGAACCAACCCAAAACAAAACACCATAACACACTTAATATTGAGATAATGGGGTGTTTTCAAATACAGTTATTCAAGTACACCAAACCATAAGCTTAACTTATGTAGAAGAACAGAAACAGATAGTAATCAAGAAATAAGTCAGTCTCTACAATATTCATCAAGATACTGAAAAAAAAGAACCATGGAAAGGCACACTTGTATTCTGATAGTGTGAAGGTAAAGAAGGAAAAAGCACTAAATGTGCATGGACAGAAAGAATCTATGTTTGCAAAGCACAGTGTTTAGGGAACTTAAAAAAAGTAAATATACTCTCTTTTGGTAACTAAATCCTAAAGTAACAGCAAGAGGAAATAGGAGAAGATTGGAAAGTAGCAATTTCTATGAGGTAGCTGCAAGCAGAGTAACTTAAGAATCATCAGAAGAGAAAGGAACTGGAACAGTAAGTATGATGAGACAAAAAGAAAGCATCTTTAGTTGTTGGTCAAGGAAGTAACAAGAACAAGCATGCTGTAGGTAGACTGACAGACAAATTTCTCAACAAATGAAATGAAGTTAAAGGATGCCACCAAGTAGATAAGTGGATATCCAGGAAGAAAAAACAGAAAATGTAAGAGTATTTGAGACTGTCTTCTGGCTCACTTAGCTGAAGCTGCTTGTTTCACACCCTCTTTCTTCCCCACTGGGGGAACAGAGGAAAAGAAAATTTAAGAAAATAATAGTAATATATATATAAAAA